GTCATTCCCACCAGCTCACCCGCTCCAAATAGCTCCTCACTTAGATTCTTGCCAGCTGATTTGGGACTCATTTGTCCAAGGTGACAATTAAAACCAGCCATCACGTTGTTCCAGGGAGCTTTTTTGTTTGTTTGTTTGGTTGGCTTTTCTTGTTCATTTTTCGAGACAGGGTTTCTCTATACGGCCTTGGTTGTCCTGGAACTCTCTCTACAGACCAGGCTAGCCTCGAATTCAGAGATTTGCCTGCCTCTGCTCCACAAGTGCTGGGATTAAAGATGTGCACCACCACTGTCTTAACTTTTTTTCTTCCTCTTTCTTTCTAAGACAGGGTCTCACTATGATGTAGACCAAGCTGACCTAGAATTCACAGAGATCTTCCCAAGCACTAGGATTAGTAGAGTTAAAGTAATTCTAATCCTAGTAGAATTTAATTCTACTAGGATTAGTAGAATTAAAGATATGTGCTGGTAGACACAGCTCCAGTACCTGTTAGCAGGAGCAAGACGTGCTACCTGTGACACTCGGCGTGAAGCTACGTCAGTGTAAGGAGAGCCCTTGAGACCAAGCTCAGCCAATCCCTTCACCCAGAGCAACTCCAGGATGCAGAGGTGGCGGGATCATAGGCCCTCTGCTCTGTGGCTGAGCATTGGCCAGTGTTTGCAAGGCTGGTTCAACACCAGCATCACAAGCAAAATGTGGGTGGAGTTAGGAGTACTCTAGGCCAGAAATCTCAGGGTTATGACATTTGCGTCAAGGTAAGGTGTGTGGTAGGTTTTCTTGGAGGTGGCACTCAGTGCTGATGTCAGTGAACAGTCCTGAAGAGCTTAGGAGGCTGTTTAAGTGTGTGAAGAGCTATGATGTATTCACTTCTCACTGGCTAGGAAACTTGGCAAATGGACTTGGAGATTGGGAGGGAGACAACATGATAGTGCATCACAGTTGTGAAGTTTGAGCCCCCAAAGTATGATACTGTTGACTGGCCCAGAGGTCCTTACAGCCTGAGTGCCTTGCCTGTGCACAGTCCTAGGGTCCCACTCACATTTGTGAAAGGGGAAGGGTAGTGTACAGGCCTTTATTCCTCAGTGGTGCTGTTCCTCAGGCCCTCGGGACATGCACCTGTTTTCCTTTCCAGGAAGAGACTCTCATACCATCCATGGTCTGTCTAATCACAACTATCAGCTTCCAAACTGAATTATAACGGAGGGCCAAGATCCCCCCAGGAACTACCTGCCTGTGTGCATAGGGGCAGATAGCAGCAGGGGGTGTTATCGCCATGTGGACTTGCTGCACAAAGGCAAATGGATGCTTGCATGGTGAGCTGTGTGGCCTCACTTGCTCAAAGCAGAATTTTCTATTCAAATGTAGCTGTCATCCAGCAGCTTCACTGCTCATCACAGGATGACAGGGCTCTGAGCTCTGGTGCCAGGTGCCATGTTATAGCCCGGACCAGAATGGCATGAAATGCACTGCAGAGCTGAGAACTGTAACTACTGCTTTGAAGACTTCTAGAAGAGGTGGGTATGATGGGCAGAGCTCTGTGACTTTGAGGCCAGTCTGGGCTATATAGTGAGTTGCAGGCCAGCCAGGTATATGTAGAGGGAGGGACCCAGAATTCAGACAACATTGCTCCTGTTTACAGCCCAGGACACCTCAGGATTGGAGACAGAGAACAGTAAATGTCAGGTGGACAACACAACTTAACCATGAGAGAAGGTGTCGCTGGATGTCGGGCTGGGCATATTAAACAACCCAAGAGACTGGCAATTTTCTCTAGGTCAGTGGTTCAAAACCTGTGGGTCGCAATCCCTTTGAGGGTCACAGATCACGTATTTACAATATAGTTTATAACGGTGGCAAAAATTACAGTAGCAATGAAATAATTTTATGGCCACAATACAAGGAACGGTATTAAAGGGTCGCAGCATTAGGAAGGTTGAGAGCCACTGGCCTAGATGGGCAGCCCCTCCCTGGAAATAATCTCCGCACCACAGGAGAATGGCTGCAGCAGCTTTTGTCATCACCTGGCCTAGTGGTGCAGGAAGCAGCTGAGGGAGAACGGGTTTCCCTTACTTCACAGTTCAGGGACAGTCTGTTTTTGTAGGGAAGATAGTCAGGACAGGAACTAGTCCCATCACACCCACAGTCAACAGCAGAGAGAAATGAATGCATGCATGCATGCCCCCTGCTCAGCTGGCCTTCTCCATTCCTGTCAATTCAGGACTCAACCCAGGGAACAGTGCTGCCCACTTTTAGGCTGGGCCTTCCTGTCTGAGTTAGCACAATGAAGGTAATCTCCGACAGGCATGCCCATGCGTCAGTGTCCAAACTGCCTGAACACCATGGGAAACTTGAGACAAGAAAGTGCACTGAGCAGAGCTGAGGGGGAGGGAACTATTTCAAAACACTCCAGACTCTTCCTTCTGCATTTGAGTTACCTGAATTGAAAAGGGGTGGGATAGCTCTCAAGCAAGCCTGTACACTGGGGACATGCTGAGCTGTCCAGGCTATCCTTGAACTCCTGGGCCCTACCAACTTGGGAAGTTCTAGTCATGCCTGTGCCAGCTGTCTGCAATCAGTGGGAAACGGTTCTTGCTAAAGGTCAGGGTTGAAGGGATCACTGCTGCAATCAGGAGGAGAGCTCTGCTTAGAAAAGTCCACAGCCCGAGCTGGGGCATGTCTAGATTAGGGAGACCTGGCCAGTGCTCTTCAGTAATAAAAAGAAGTTCCCACAGCAGGCATTTGCAAGTACAGGAAGCTAGGCTAAGCCACATCGGTTGCCTGGAGACAGAAGGAGCAGAAGGAGGCTAGTGCTGGATATGTAGCCCTCCAGGAGATGGAGGCTACTTAGTTCCTAGACACAGGTCAGGCATGTCCACGTTCCCATGCTGGATGGCGGAAGCAAGCAGGGACAGGGCTGGAACTTTTCAAGAATGTTTGCTTTCTCAGCAGAGTAAAAGGAGCAGCATACAGGCAGATGCTGTGGTGCAGTGGCAGCTGCTCTGCATGGCGCGTGCCAGGCAGGGAGAAAGCATCTCCTGTCTGGATCTGTGTTCAAGGGACTCTCGAGTACATCAGGGCGTGGTGACCTGCATGCACTGAGAAGAGCACAGGCGGGGGAGGGGCCTCTGGGAGAGAGGGCTTCAGGAGTCAGCCTCCACAACAGGTCTTCAAACTTCTGTGTCACTATCTCCAGAAATGAGGACCAGCTGTGTCCACCATACCAGGATGAGCCCTGATTAGTGGCCTGCTTAGTCACTTAGGTGTCTTTTCCTTTTTGTGGTGCTGGGATGGAGCTCTGGTCTGCTGTGTGCTAAGCAAACTCTACCTCTGAGTTCCACACCCAGCCTTTTGGAATGCTCCTTAAAATACGTTTGCTTTTCTGTATTTTGATGATAGTCACTGCCTATTTTTCACCCTAACTCATTATCTACCTCTACCTCCTAACATTTTTTTTTTTTTCATATAACCCACCAAGACCAATTTGTGCTGACCGTGGACTCATATTTATGAGACATCCACTGGAACATGGTATTCAGTTTGTTGGCTTTTTGAGAGAAGGTCTCACTGCATAGCATTGGCTGGCTTGAAAGTCGCTACGTAAGCCAGGCTAGCCTCAAAACTCATAGAAACCCTCCTGCCTCTGTCTCTTGAGCACTGGAATTAAAGGTATATACCAGCACCCCAGCCTATTTGACATTTTGGTTTTTTCAAGATAGGTTGGCTGTCCTGGACTCCCTTTGTAAGCCAGGCTGGCCTTGAACTCACAGTGATCCGTCTGTCTCTGCCTCCCCGAGTGCTGGGATTAAAGGTATGCACCACTATGCCCAGCTACCCCAACCTATTTTGAATTTAGGGTTTTGGGAGTTATTTGTTTTGGTTTTGTGTGTCTGTCTACGTTTGTGTGTGTGCATGTGGTTGGTTTGGTTGGTTTTGAGGGTTTCTCTCTGTAAACGAAGCTGCCCTGGAACTCTCTGTAGACCAGGCTGGCATCAAACTCAGAATTCCAGCTGCCTCTGCCTCCCAAGTGCTGGAATTAAAGGCATGTGCCACCATGCCTGGCTGGAGTTAGGGTTTTTTAAGAAGAGTGAAGTTGAAGGTCCTTCTTGGCTACACAGCAAGTTGGAAGCCAGCCTGAGCTGTGTGAGAAAGAAGAAAGGTAGTTGGGAATGCAAATATGCTGGTGAAGTGGCACTAGAGCTCAGTGTCACAAGGACCCCCTCCAGCTTCTTGGCTCCACTTGGCCTGGCTTCCTCTCCCCACTCATTGGCTTGTCCTGCCATTTGGGAGCCTGAGGGGCTGAGAAACTGTGGGTCAGGTGGTTGGCCAGGCCAGGGAACAGGTGCATCCTGGTTCTCTCCCTCTGCTGGTGGTTGTGGCCCCACCTGCTCCTCTTGGGTGCAAAGCCTGCTTCCACTACTTGGTACAGGGGCCACTAAGGTGAGCACTTCAGGATCAGGAGTCAAGACGGCTGCCAGGGTGGTCCCACACCACATTGCATCCTTGGAGGAAGCAGAACCTAGGACACAGCTGTGCTCATCCTTGTCATTCTGGGGTTTGTGCTAAGTGCTGTGGCCTCAAGAAGGAACCTGTCCTGCTCTTCATATATAAAAAGTAGGATGAGATCGGTGTGGTGGCACACATCTTTAATCCCAGCGCTTGGAAGGCAGAGGCAGGCAGATCTCTGAATTTGAGCCCAGCCTGTTCTACAGAGTGAGACTACTGATGGGAAGGAGAGTGGCCTAGACAGATGTATGTGCCCTAGGAGTGGCGGCATGACGCTCCTTCCAGGGCTAGGCTGAGATGTCACCAGACTTCACACACACCCCGCCAATGCCTGTGTGAACCTGGCCTGTCTGCATAGTGAGACGCTTGTCTCAGAAAGATTAAAGAACCACCAGGTCTTTAAACTGTCATCCTCTGCTCTTGTGTGGTGGTGCAGTGTCTCTCTGGCGTGATGGACTAACGCCTGGAGTGACACACACCATGTCGCCTTGCAGCAGTAGTGGACGTCAGCTCAGCGAGGTGTTCATCCAGCTTCCCTCGCGCAAGGAGCTTCCTGAGTACTATGAGCTCATCCGGAAACCTGTGGACTTCAAGAAGATCAAGGTGCGCGGGGCCAAGAATCTGGGGCTGTGGGAGGACAGCCCCGTGAGCCCAGCAGTGACAGCATGGGCACGCAGGGGGCCATGGGTGCCCAGAGTTAGACCGCCCTCCCCCTCCTTACAGGAACGCATCCGCAACCACAAGTACCGCAGCCTCAATGACCTGGAGAAGGATGTGATGCTGCTGTGCCAGAATGCACAGACATTCAACCTTGAGGGTTCCTTGGTGAGCACCCGTGTGCCCCCATCATGCCACCTGCCCTTCACCCCTCTACAACTAATGTGTTGTGTTTGTTTGATTTGGACAATTTGGGCTGCTGCGCTATTGCTGAGAGCAGTGTCCTCTTCCCTAGTAGTATAAGGTCCCACAGGCAACTGCCTACCAGCCAGGGTGGCTGTCTCGCACTTGATTTTTATTTTCATATGCATGGCTGCTTTGCCTGAAAGCGTGTCTGCACTGCATTTGTGACTGGTGTCTGCAGAGGCAGAAGAAGGAATTGAATCTCCTGGAGCATTACAAGTCACTGTGAGCACCACAGTGCAGATGCTGGGAACCGAGCCTGGCCCTCTACAAGAGCAGCGGTGCTCTTAGCTCTGAGCCAGCTCTCTTCCAAGTTTGTCTTTAGTTCTGTACAGACTCTTAAACGACTTTCTACACCAGGTGTCCTTTTCTGTCACTAAATGCCCAGCAGTAGAGCCCATCCTGCCTCTGGCAGAGTCCTCTCACCTCTTGAGGGGGTGGCTTCCAGGACAGGGATTTTCCTTTGTTAGGTCAAGGTAACACCATGCCAACAGGATTGCGTGTTTCTAGCACCATTCGTCTTTGTAAACGTCATGGCCTTGAAAAGTGCTCAGTGAGCGAGAAACTGTGGCCAGCACACAAACCTCCCAGCCCTCGTCATCCAGGAAAGGTTGTGGGTGGCCTTGCTGAGCAGCAGGGCTCCAATAGAGAGCCACATGAGCCCTGTGTCCTTGCAGATCTATGAGGACTCCATCGTCCTGCAGTCTGTCTTCACCAGTGTGCGGCAGAAAATTGAGAAAGAAGATGACAGTGAAGGCGAGGAGAGTGAGGAGGAGGAAGAGGGCGAGGAGGAAGGCTCTGAGTCTGAGTGTGAGTACAGATAGGAGACAGAGAGCCTGCGAGAAGCTCCCAGCCAGCTGTTGCCTCACCTAACAGTGTCCTTTCTTACTGCCCACAGCCCGCTCTGTCAAGGTCAAGATCAAACTGGGCCGCAAGGAGAAGGCCCAAGACCGACTCAAGGGGGGCCGGCGGCGGCCAAGCCGAGGATCCCGGGCCAAGCCAGTCGTGAGCGATGATGACAGTGAGGAGGAACAGGAAGAGGTAAGGTCATTGTAGCCTTTAGCTAGGCCATACCTCACCCTAATCAGTTCACACACAGTCCAGACCAATCTGTGACCTAGGCCGCAGTGATGTGCCTAGTTTTGGTAGCACCCAGGCTTCCGAGCAGTGGTCTTTGGGCTTCTGGTGCAGCCTGCAGAGCAGCTCGGCAGGACAGGAGAGGACAACCACGAGCACTGTGATTACCGGGACATGTGTTGCCATGGGACACAGGCAGGGTCCTCGGGCTTCTTCTCTGGCTTATATGGGACAGTGACTGCATAAGACCTGTGAGTTAAAAATGAAGAGAACGGCTGCTGTGACACACATCTTTAATCCCAGCAGTCAGGGAGGCAGAGGCTGGTGGATTGCTATGAGTTCAAGGCCAGCCTGGTCAACAAAGTGAGTCCAGAACTACACAGAGAAACCCTGTCTCAAAAATAATAATAATAAAATAAAATGGTGGCTCACAACTACATACAACCCCAGCAGCAGCGTATTTCAGGCCTCCGGCCTCCAGGGGCATTGCATGGCATACATACGTATGCCTACACAGACACACACCTCTCCACTAGATAATTGAAAACAAAAGTAGCCAAGTGTGGTGCTGTGCACCTTTATTCACAGCAATCACGAGCAGGCAGCTGTCTGACTCCCGGGCCAGCTTGATGGGTTTAGCAAGTTCCAAGCCAGCCAGAGCTATGTAGAGACCTTAATGGGAGAAAAACAAAAACAAAACTTTCTTGTTTGCTTATTTCAGATTTATCTGTTGTTTTTATATAGAGATATTTTGCCTCCGTGTATGTATGTGTGCCACATGTTTACCTGGTGATCATGAAGGCTAGAAGAGGGCATTGGATCTTCTGGAACTGGAGTTACAGGACGTTGTGAGCTACCATTTGGGTTCTGGGAACTGAACTCAGGTCCTCTGTAAGAGCAGCCAGTTCTCTTAACCACCGAGCCGTTTCTTTTGCCCTAAAAATATATCTTAATAGTGACTGCAGGCATAGTGGTGCACACCTGTGACCCCAGGACCTAGAGGTAGCAGCAGGGAGATCAGGAGTTAATTACCGTCCTTGGTTGCAAAGCAAGTTTGGGGCCAGTCTGGGCCTTATTAGACAACTACCAAAATGGCAGTCAGAAGACAGAACACATGTTCATACTCAGAATGGCTATAATGAGCCAGCTGCCTCTTGGAGGGTTCCATGGTGACTTGTCCTTCAACCCTGTTCCTTTCCCATACAACAGGCACAAGGGGAGCAGGGCTGCCGTGGTGCAGGGCAGGGTCCAAGTTGTGGTGCTGTTTTTTCTGTATCATGATAATTTATTCCCTCAGATCCAAGATCCATAGGCCCTTCCACGACACTGGAAACACCATGGACTCAGGACCATGCCTAAGCAGCAGCCTACTCACAGCCTGTCTCCCTGTTCTTCCAGGACCGCTCAGGAAGTGGCAGTGAGGAAGACTGAACCAGACATTCCTGAGTCCTGACCCCGAGGCGCGCGTCCCAGCCGAGATGGAGTAGCCCTTAGCCGTGATGGGTAGCACCAAATGTAGTTTCGGACTTGGAGAACTGCACACATGCAATCTTCCACATTTTTAGGCAGAGAAAAATAGGCTGTCTGTGGGCCCTGGCCTGGCCCGGCTCGAGTCTCTACCAGCATTAACTGTCTAGCGAGGGGACCTCTTGGGAGCACCATCCACCTTCCGGGCCCCGGTCACTGTAGCTCAGCGTGGATGCATGCGCGTGCCGTCCACTCCTTGTACTGTATCTTACTGGACAGGGCCGACTCTCCAGAGGCTCACAGGCCCCGCGGGTATGTCAGTGTCACTGGAGTCAGACAGTAATAAATTAAACCAAGGACAAACCACCGCTGGCCTCCCTGTACTCCTTGCTGTCGGTAGGACCTGGAGCCAAAGAGAAGAAAGACCTTTAGGAACTGGGCCTAGCCTGTGGGCCAAGTGCTGCCATGGGAGAAGTACAGGTTGGGGTTTGCATCCCCACCACCGACACATGCCAGGCAAGCCAAATCAGCACGCCGTGGAGTCAAGGGAAAGCCTCCATCTCAATATATGGTGAAAAGCAGTCAAAGATGACACCCAGCATCCCCCTCTGGCCTCTGCGTGCATGTATACAAACTGAACACGCATACACACACTGCTGTACACACATCCCCAAGGGGGAGGTTCATGATTTGGGCTGGGGTGAAGTGTCTGCAGCGCAGCCTCCAGCACAGCCCAGCCGTCCTGTGCGCTAAGGTGGAGGAGAGAGGAGCTGCAGGCTCTCCGACCAGCATGCCAGGGCAGCGACAAACGAGACCTTGCCTCAAATGAGCCAGAGCCCACACCGATACTGCTCTCTAACCTCCACACACACACCTTCACTTACGAACTGTACGTACCATATACAAAGCTTGTTTAAATTATTAGACATACTTTGTGTTTTGCCTGCATGTAAGTATGTGGACCTGTACCATGTGCATTTCTAGAGCCTGTGGAGGTCAGAGGAGGAGGGCGTTGTCTCCTGGAATTGCAGTTACATGATGTGGGTGTTGGGGACCAAACCCTGGTCCTTTGCAACAGTGTAGGAACTCTTGACCTCTGACTTTGTGCAGTCCACAAAACAAATCTTTTAAAATAAGAAAGGAAAAACTAGGCCTTAGCTTGGCCCTGGGCCGTTAAGCCACAGTTCTGGCTGCAGCCATTCCTTTGTCTCCACTTCCCCTTTCCTGTCCAGCCTTTGCTGTTCCACCTGTAGCTCTGTTGGGAGCTACGGTTGTGTTACAGCGCTGAGAGGAAGCTCTCCCAAAGTGTTACAGCTCTACTCCAGTGGGGAAAACCACAGACACAAGACATTGGTTGGGAGGGGAAGAAGAGGATGGCTGCAGAGGCCGGAAGATCTCTGTGATTTCAGGGCCTGCATAGTCAATTCCGGGATAGCCAAGAGGTCATAGGCCCTGATTTAAAAAAAAAAAAAAAAAAATTGTTTTTTGTTTTTTGTTTTGTTCTGGGGCCAGGCATCATAGTACACACCTTTAATCCCAGCACTCAGGAGACAAAGGCAGCTGGGCTTATTTGTTTTTGTTTTTTGAGATAGGGTCTCTCTGTGTAATAGCCTTGGCTGTCCTGGAACTCTGTGTAGACCCTGCTGACCTCAGACTCATAGAGAGATATCTGCCCCTTTCTCCCAAGTTCTAGATTAAAGGTATACCCTGTACTCCAGGCTGACCTTGAACTCACTATGTAGCTCCATCTTGCTTTGAACTGATGATCCCAAATGCTGAGATTATCAAACCTGGCTAGTTCAGTTTCCTGGTATTCTGGAATAAGACGCCAGTTTCAATTGTAGGCTTTAATCCTAGTACTTGGGAGGCAGAGGCAGGCAGGTATAAAACTCTGGGTCTGAGGCCAGCCTGGTCTACAGACTGAGTTCCAGGATAGCCAGGCTACACAGAGAAACCCTGTCTCCGGAAAAGGAAGAAAAAAAAGTTCTAGGGACTGGAGAGAAGGCTCAGCAATTAGAAGGACTTGCTGCTCTTCCAGAGAATCCAAGTTCCATTTCCAGCACCCACAGAAAGGCTCACAACCATCAGTTACTCCCATCGCAGGGGATCCAGTGCCCTTTTCTGGCTCTAGGTACACACACACACACACACGTGCAGGCTTGGTGGTGCATGCTTTCAGCCCTGCAGACAAGATACCTTTGCATTCAAGGAGAGCCTGGGATACATAAGAACCTGTCTCAAAAATAAGTAAAATATCCTAAACCTGGCTTGGTGGTGCAGGCCTATAATCCCAGCATTCAGGGAGTCAGAGGCAGGCAGATGTCTGTGAGTTCGAGGCCAGCCTGATCTACACAGAGAATACCTGTCTCGAAAATTAAATGTCCCAGGGAGCAGAGAGATGACCTAGCAAGCGAAGGTGCTTACTTCCAAGCCTAACATTCAGAGTTTGATCTGAAGAGCCTCGGTGGTGGAAGGAGAGGTCCAACAGCCCTCAAGTTGTGCCCTTGCACTGAAAACACCAATTTTGTTTGTTTTGTTTTGTTTTGCTGTTCCTGCAGAGGGCCCGGGGGTCAGTTTCCCTCACACACATGACAGGTAGCTCACAACTGCCTGTAACTTTGAGTTTTGTGGGAGCTAACACCTTCTGGCCTCCGGCACCAGGCAGGCACATGGTACACATGCAGGCTAACTCATGTACATAAAATAAAAATGAATAAGTGTTTTTGAATTGTGGTCTAGCAAGCTGGTGTCAAGGGTAATGGCACAGCCTTACCTGACAACCAGAGTTTGGCCCCTCCAGGGCCCACATGGTGACGGGAACACCAACTCCCTCCCACAAGTTGTTCTGACCTTCACATGTGAGCCTCCTACACACATTAAATACATATATCCATACATGTATGCATACATGTAAAAGTGAGTCCTTTATAAGGAAAGTAAAACAGACCAAAGAGAAGTTATAATAATATTGTTCATTATAAACAGCAAAGTCCAAAATGACCCCAACAGCTTCTATGTGACCTTTCATCTCTCCAGTCAGAAATCTGGAGCTGGTGGACTGGTGGCACATGCCTTTAATCCCAGCACTCAGGAGGCAGAGACAGGCAAATCTCTGAGTTCAAGGCCAGCCTGGTCTACAAGGCAAGTCTAGGACAGCCAAGGCCATACAGAGAAACCCTGTCTCAAAAAACTAAAATTCAGAAGGCTGGAGCTATTGCTTCAATGTCAGAAACCAGCTCCCGTGTCTGTTTCGCAGCACAGCAACCATACATCCAGCACTTAGTGGCCTCAAGAGCCGCCGTCGTCCCAGCTGCTCTGTGATGCGGGGTCCCTTCCCTTTTGCTGTACCTGTACACATTGCTCCTCTGTGCTGTTGGCTACACAACTGAGTGGCCATTTTGTGCGAGGCTAGAATCTCCATTCCTTCTCATCTGAGAGGCGAGAAGCTAGGCTTGGTTTTAGAAGAAAGTAAAATGACCCAACACAGGCTCCAGGCACACATACACGATTCGGCTCACATGCACAGGCAGCTGTCATGGGGACACGGGCCATGTGATGACAGGGCAGCAAGACTGCCTAGTCCCTAGCTGCCCTTTGACTGAGGCTGGTAACAGCCCCTTCCGGCCCCACCCCTGCTGGCCCCACTTGGTGCCTGAGCCTTCTGGATTGGATCCCAGAGTCTAAGGGATTCTGTCCATTTCAGGGGTGGTACAGGCGGGGCCCTTCTCCAAGACTGGGATCCAAGCCTTGGTTTCAGGGGTGCTCAGGAGTTGGCGCTGCCTCTGGGATGGGGAAGAGATGTGGGTTACAGAGCATACCCAGAGATGGGGAAAACCCTGTTGACACAGGGAGGCACACCAGGTGCTGATTGAGTTCTCTAGCTCGGTTGCTAGGGCAATGGCAGCAGAGATGGCATTAGCAGGTTACTTCCCACCCCAGGTGTTCCGCTGAAACTCACTCCAAACCACAGTGAAGTCTCCAGTTTCTCCTCCTTCTTAAGTCCAGGCAGGCTTCAGCACCGAGAAGGTCAGAAGTGACACAGACTGCTCAAGGCAGGTCAGCAGACCCGGGCCACCTAGTGTGCGAAGACCTGGGCTCTGCTCCAGCGTTACATAGACTTGTCCTCTGATATCCACCAGCACCATCACAGGCGCCCAACAAAAGCTCTGCTCAAAGCAACGTTCCCAACCAGAGTTGAGTTGTTTTCTAGACTCTGATAGAACACGCCTTCAGTCCCAGCACTCAGGAGGCAAAGGCAGGCGGGTCCCTGTGAGTTGGAGGCCAGTCTTCTATACAGAATGACTTTCAAGCTAGAATTACATACTGAGACCCTGTCGCAGAGACAAAAATAGGGCTAGCAAGATGGCTCAGGCAGGTGAAGGAGCTTGCCGCCAACTTTGACCACCTGAGGTCAGTCTCCAGGACCCACAGGTGAAAACAACAACAACGGATTCCCAAAAGTCCTCTGATGTGAGCAGAGAAGGGTGGGAAGATTAAAGAAATGCCAAAGTATATTTTCTTAAAAAGGAGCAAAGATTGGTCTGTGGCAGCAGGCACCCTGAGCAGAGCAGTGACCACCAACCCTTCGTGATTTCACACAGCAGCTCCAGGAGAACTGGGGACTGAGCCCTTGGCAGTCAGGGTCACCTAGGCTCTCTGTACACATCGAGAGATGTTGCCTGCCAAGCTGGCAACTGATGCTTATTCTCCTTGGTTTCCTGTTGTTGTCAGGCTTAGCAGGATTGACCAGATGGCTCAGGCTGTGTCCCCTTTGATCCTGAGCCCCCAGGTTCTTCATAGTTGATGAAGGGGAAATGCAAAGCCGAGGATACCCACGTGCCTTGGAGATATCCATAAATCAACCTTCTCAATCACAGTAGCTACATAAGACCATTACAGCCCTGTATAGAACTGCATAGGCGAGCCGAGCGCAGTGGCACACGCCTGTAATTCCAGCACTCCAGGAAGCAGATCTCTGAGTTCAAGGCCAATCTGGTCTACAAAATGACAGCCAAGACTACACAGAGAAACACTGTCTCAAAAAACAAAACAACAAAAAACCTATGCAAACTCTCATCCTCCTGGCTCTCTAGCCAACATGGCTCACAGGCAAACATGCCCTTTCCTGGTAGCCTGCGGCAGATGGATATCCATCTGCAAGGCATCGAAGTCTCCCTGCCCAGGGCACTCATCGGCCATGTGAACAGTCAGTAAAAGAGTACCTGACCTCGGTTGGTTTACCCATGCTGGTGTCTGAGAGTTCTTACCCCTTCCACTTCCTACTCTATTCAGACTCCTACCCCCGCATCTCCCTCCTAGCCAGCGCATTCCCCCCTTTCTGAGACTCCCACTCCTGAGTCCCCAGA